TCAGACGTGTGCTCTTCCGATCTCTAATCATTGAAAATTTAAAATTATTACTCGAAATGTATATTTTATTCATTCAAAATACAATAAAATTCACAATAAGTGTGTTTATTTATTATTATTTAATCTTATTTTATAATTTAATTTTTTGGCTGTGGTTCCTTTTATCTTATTACGTATTTTAAATAAGTTTATGATATACGTTTGTAGCTAAGATTTTAAACCTCTTTTATTTCATTTCTTTAAATTACACGCCTTTGTACTACTCAAAACATGGCGAAGGGTCACGTGACTGGGTAACACAAACATCAAAGGTTCCGACTTAACTGTCGTAACTGTGTATGATTAAACTGTGTCTTCGCTAAGTGGGGTTTGAGCCTACTCCTCTAATTGTAAGTAAAATATGAATTTAGCGGAGACTCAATCCCACTTAGCAAAGATTCGAACCTCACTTAGCGGAGACTCGAATTATTTATACAGCTGCAGATTACATTTAGTGGAGACTCAAACCTTACTTAGCGAAGATTCGAACCAGATACTTTTAGGGCCGTCCCATGGCAGAGATTTTTCATGTAACGCGCATGTATCGCGTAAGTAACGCCTCTGATTGGTTACGCAATACGCGTTACGTGAAAAATCTCTGCCATGGGACGGCACCCTTAGAATACCCCTCTATATACTGATCCCCAGGGTGTGAGGCTCCTCGCCTGGGCTGCATTCAGGAATTCACGGTATATCGTGTTATCCTTGTTATTCACCGAACGTTAAACAAAAAAAGAATGATATCTAGATGCACCTAGGCGAATTAGTTTCTGAACGCAGCCCTGTTACCTCGTGAACTGAACTTTTGCAAAAGTTCGCGTTCTCGCCGCCAGATGTTTCTGTCGGCGAAAACGCGACTCTCGAAGTTCCCAAAGTCGCCGACACACTCGACACTCTCACGTGACACGTCGTTCCTCGACGTTCCAGGGCGTACGGTTTCGTGACGAGAGAGATCGGCCCCCATCGCGCCCCCCCACCCCCCTTTGACGCATCGCGAGGTATTCCGCGGACGGTGTTGGGACGATTTTTTATTCCTCTCCCTGATTTTTCCCGGGGTCCGTTTCCCGGGGCTGGCACGAGGAGGACGATCGGCGATTGTAATTAGGCGTACTATACCCCTCCTGCGCTGCGGACAGACTCTCGTCAGTAATGTCGGACGTACGGCGACGTCGTAAGTCCAGCCAGTCGTGCGGCTCCGACGATCTCTCGGACTCCTACGAGGAGCTGAACGCGACGAAGGAGACTCAGGTAAGTGCCGGGGCTTTTCCTCCCCAGCTTCCATCGCCGAGGGGTGGGATCCTCCCCGAGAGAGATGAGTCTCGGCCATTCTCGGCCGCGCCGAGGATCCTCCCTCCTTCCCTCCCAACGTCTCCTCGCTCGGCCGCGTTTTCGGGCGATTCGATTTTTTCCCCCCTCGACGGCGAGCTCGACGCCCGAAGCAGAGCAGAGAGGCAACGGGAATCTCTGCGAGTCTGCGCCAACTGAAAGTATAAGTACAGATTAGGCGGACAGCGCGGTGTATACGGTACACTTAATTAATTTTACCTTCGATTATACTTACCGCCGACGCCGTCACGAGAGCCTAACTGGGTACGCTTTAAGACTTCGTCCCCGGTGCCCGCCGTCTGCCGATGACACGGACTACCGATGGTCGTATCGTAGCGGCCGCCGAGTGTGGATTAACAATTTTTGAAAATTTCTTGCAACTTTCCGCCTTTTGTAATTTGTCGCTTTCAACAAATATCTGTATTTACTTGAAATGTTTATTTCGATTTATTTGTGAAAAGTTGCAGGTAAAGATCTGCTATTGTCTCCGAGGCTTGCAAGGATTACTAAGCTGGTTTATCAATGCATTCGGAATGCTGGTCGCAATTTATATTCTGTTAAAGTTAAAACTTGGTCTTATTTAATAATCTGAAATTTTCATTTTTCTATATTATTATTGGAATGTAAAAAAATATATTACGATTAATCAAATCTTCCACTTTTACAGAAAGTTAATTGTCAATTTGCCAAAAAGTTATTGCACAAGAACACGCAATTGCAAGATAGTTAAAATAACTTCTTTTAGTACTCATTGTATGTACATGGTTTTATGCCTGAAACATGTAAAAGATGAAAAGGTAGGAAGAAAGAGATCAAAGAAAGAGGAGAGGAAGAGAGCAAAAAATCTTATTTTCATTTTAGTTAATCTAAGTGATTAAACAAGATTATGTACAATAATATTGTTTTTTTTTTTGCTTTTTCTTTGATCATAGCATTTAAATAAATATCCATACAGCACACTTTATCCGAGAGACATCCAGAGGACATCCCTATACATCCTAAGAATGATCTTAGAATGTAAAGGACATTCTCTAGATGTTCCTCGGATAATGTGTGCTGTATGGGTAAAAAATCACAGAGATAGCTAATTAATGGAATCAATTAATAGATAGAATCAATGGAGATAATAGCAGAAAAAGAAAAAATATATATGTAATTAACGCTTTAAAAATATAATTGATAGGTAATTAATATAAATGAGTAAATTCTAATTTTGATTGATACGAGTACATACATACATCAATATTTTATTGACACATGTATATTTTATCGATACATACGTACATGTACGTAGCTATCAAATCCTTAAAAATAATTTGGACATGTAATTATACGAATATATATACTTTGAGCTATCGATGTAGACGTAAATTCTAATTTTGATTGATATATACATACATCAATATTTTATTGATACACACAAACATATATACACTTATTAGACCTTTAAAAATAATTTGGACATGTAATTATTACGATTATACCTTGGGGTCCTCTTCGCGCCGATATAGACATCGATTTAAACGATTGATAGCCCGAATGACAATCGGATCGCTGCAAACGCCACAAATAGTCAGATTTTGTCAGACTCCATTCTGAAAAGAGAAACCGCATATACGATGTAATACACTCCTATTTAAATAAGCATATCGGCTTTTTAATCGGCTTTATTTCGTCCGCCCGATTTCAACCATCCTCTCTTACAGACATATTATATTGACGATTGACAGATTGATTATATTCTCTTATAGATACATTCTATAAGAAGATATATCTCTGTAAGAATATAATCGTCAATATAATATATCTTCTACAAATATATTCTATCTATATCTATATCTTCTTACAAATATATTATATTGACGATTATATTCTTACAGAGTAGCGAACAGACTGATGGCCATCAAGATTCGGAGTGTGACATTTATGAAAGTGACTCAGATACCGAGGAGTCGCAGGAAGGCGGGGAGCAACGCGAAAGCGGAGATGGGCAAGAAGAGGAGAAACCGCAGAAGAAGTTGGATGACGACGAGGACCGACGTAATCCGCAGTACATACCGAAACGGGGAACGTTTTACGAGCATGATGATCGCACGGCCGACGAAGTAACTGATAACAACACCGAACAGCAAACTAACGTGAAGGAAATCAAGGAGAAGAAGGTATGGAAGGATAAGGACGACAGATGGGATCACGACCGATACAATGACGAAGAGCAAGCGCCAAAAAGACCCGAGGAGCTGATAGCAACGTATGGTTACGATATTAGAAATGAGGAAGGACCACCTAGAGCCAGGAGGAGAAGAAGATATGGGTGAGTCTTATTACATTAACATGACGTCCTATTTAAATCGGGATTTAAGGAAAACAAAACTTTAGTTTTTTTTTTTTTAATCGTGATGTCATGTAATATCTATCTTACGTATATTCCCTCAGTCGTGGACCCAACAAGTATACAAGGAATTGGGAGGATGAGGACGCTTATGGAAAGGCAACGCCTGGCAGAGGAATCAACAGACGCTTCCATAAAAATAACGAAGATTTTCCCGCTCTTGGTAATAATAAGGTAAATGTTGCAAATATACAACGTTACTTACGATTAATTAAAAAGTTTTATCAAATATCTCTTTATAATATCTCTTTGTTTTTTTTTTATATATAATACAGAATACTTCGAACAAAGTAGAGGAGCCTGTAATTTCGTCGGCTTGGTACAGCAGCAAGAACAAAACGCAGAACAAAACTCAAAACTTCCCGCCGCTTCAGTCATCCCAACAGGATAACGTGAAGACTAAGCCTGCTACTGCCTCCAATACATCCACGTATGTGTAATAGTTTTCTGTAATATATATTTGTGAAACTAATCTTATTTCTTGACAAGAAAGACTTTTGAACGAAAACGTTGTTACAGAAGTGAAAATAAAGTGCCGGATGAATCCACCAATACATCTTGGAAAAAGGACGATAGGCACATTACGCAAAATCAAAACGCAAACGGAAACACCGGTTCTGGCGGTGATGCGGAAAAGTTAGTTAATACCAAGCCATCGCCAAGGGAAAATAACAAGAGGAACATCCAAGAGTCTGTAAGCTTGGCTGCGAGTAGGACGCGCGGAAGAGGTTTCAAGTCCAATGCTAATAACAACATGGTCACTAACAGAATAGTTGAGAATAAATCAAAGGGACGCGGCCCGGGCCCGGTTACAGTAGAGAACCGAAGGAATAATTCCGCGCAGCACAACGAAGAACACCAGCTTGCTCATGATATGAAACAACTTAACGTTAGCGATGGTAATCTATTTCATCAGCCGTCACGACACAACAGTAAGTTTTTTGTTAAGTTTATTGATATTAAACACGAATAAGAAATTTATATTCATAATAGAGTTAAATCATACAATAAGACTAGTAGAGCAAATTCAAGTTGACAATTTAATTTATTAATTAATTTAATATATAATATTTCTCTAACTTTTTAACATTTACGACTACATTGTGTGTCTAAAATTTGTATCTTTTTTTTTTCTTTTTATATTATATTTATATTTTTATATATTTATATTTTTTTTACATTTATAAGAAATTTGTATTCACAATAAAGTTAAATCTTTCACAATAAGTCTAGTAGAGAAAATTCTAAAATTGACCGAATAGAAAAAATGATTTATTTAAATAGCAAAAAGAAGAAAAAAATTAAGTAAAGAAATGGATGCATCATGATTCCGTATTTAATTTGTATGTTTAAATTTAATTTTTCAATTAATTTAATATATAATATTCCTTTAACTTTTTAATATCCGCAACTACAGTGTGTGCCTAATTTGTATCTTTTTTTCTTTTTATATTTTATATATATTTTTTTATAGAAGGCTTTTTCACCTCAGCCAACCAACATAGATCAAACACAGTACCACCTAGAATGCAGCAGCAACAGCAATCACATCAGCAACAAACGCATTCGCCACAACAAACAATACAGCAACAGCAGCAGCAACAACAACAACAACAACAACAACAGCAGCAGCAGCAGCAGCAACAACAGGATAGTTCTGGAAACAGACCTAAACGGTATTCCAGTCTTCGTCAACGTCCTACCATTTCGGAAACTCCGGCGCAACAGAATTATCAAGCACAACACACCCAACATGGATATTTTTCGCCTCAAGGTAGGACGCACATTTAATATACAACATTTAACATTTATCATTTAACATTTATAATTTAACATTTATCGTTTAACATTTATCATTTAACATTTATCATTTTATCTCTACTTTAATGCATATTCCGAATTTATTTCTTACGAATATGCTTATACATGATCTTATAATGCAAGCATGGATTTAACATTAATTTATGTTAATTGTGCACTCCTAGCGGGAAATTCAAGAACCGTTCTCGAATCTCAAGGTAAGAAAAAATTATGTATAGGAGTTATCCAGTTATCTCCAAATAGATAATATACTATCTATTATATTATATTAATTATTATATATCAATTATCAATTCCATAGCATTGTAAACTAATTCATCACGCATTCCAGGTTATCCCCAAGGTCACTTTGAGCAGTCTTCTCCAGTTGCTCCAGCCACGGCACCCATGACAGGGCAACCGGTTATTTCTCTACCACCTGGTGGGCAAGCTGCCAGTTACGCGCCACCACCGTTTTTAGTACCACCGCCGCAATTCATACCACCTCAAACCGCACCACCTAGTATAATTAATTATGTTCCCGGTCCAAACGGCCCGACGTTTCCACCGAACTTTCAAGGCTACCAGGGATACAATCCTTCGGTCCAGGTGAGAAAAATTGATTTATTTAAATAGCAAATGGAAGAAAAAAAAAATTAAGCAAAAAGACGGGTGGGATATCATGATTACTGAACATTCCGTATTTAATTTGTATGTTTTGAATATTGCAGCCTCAGGGTCCACCACCACCCCAGGAATTATTCCAGCCGCAGGGATGTACTTATTACAGTCCCGCTCAGCAGCAGCAGCAAGCTGCTCCTTTGCGGCGGCCGAAAGCGGCGATACCTATTCTTCCGCCGCCTGACAATCAGCAAAGCGGTAGAGGAAGAGGTAGAAGCGCTCAGCAGTATCAATCCGGTGGTGGTAACGTGGAAAGTGCGAAGACTGATCAAGACATCAAGAGTGGTAGCGCGGAAAGTGACGAAAAGAGACCCGTGTTGGGACAGTTTGATAGTGTACAGGTCGAACAGCCGAGCACGCCGAGTCAGGAGAATCAACCTCCGGACGTGGTTGTCCACATCGTCGGAACCACTGTTTCACGGAACGATGTGGACGAGAAAGTAGAGACAATTAGCGTGTCACCCGTTAAAATTAGCAATTTGGACGGCGTCAGTGAACTATTAGAAGCTACCGAAAAGAACACGGTTTCGGTTAGTCCAACGACCAGCAACGAGACTGAATTAGGTAATATTGAATCTGCGATTCCCGAGAGTATAGCCGAGAAAGCCGCAGCCTGAAGAGAGCATGATTATTGTTAATCATTTGCGCTTCCTGTACATACACGACGCGCAGATGATTAAACAATAATTAACGTTTCCCCTCGTCGCGATTCGCTGCGAAGTTAAAAGTGTCGCTTCGGGAATTATGCACCACGCGCTCGGGCGAGTTCAGCTCACTCGCATATCCATAACAGAGCGAAAGATTGCATGCGTAACTGCAATTACAGTATATTTATTTCTTCGCTCTATTATGGGTATGCGAACGCAACCCATGACGTTTCGCCCAAGCGCGTCGTGCACAATTCTCGAAGCGACAGTTAAACTTCACAGTAAATCGCGACGAGGGGAGAAAGCGAATCATTGTTAATTATTTGCGCTTCGTATACATACACGACGCGCAAATGATTTACAGTGATTAACGTTTTCTCTCGTTGCGATTTACCACGAGGTTCAAATGTCGCTTCGTGAATTACACACGAACGCGCTTGGGCGAGACATCTAGTTCGTTCGCGTACCCCGCAATAGAGCGAAAGAATAAATATACCGCAACTGCGCACGCAATTTTTCGTTCTATTCGAGGGGTAAGCGAGTGAACTAGATCTTTCACCCAAGGGCGTCGTGTGTAATTCACGAAGCGACACTTTCAACTTCGTGGTAAATCGCAACGAGGGGAAATGCTATTAATCGTTTGCGCGTCGTCTATGTATACGAAGCGCAAATGATTAATGACGTTTTCTCTCGTCGCGATTTACCACGAAGTTGAAAGCGTCGCTTCATGTATTACACACGACGCGCTTGGGCGAAACGTCTAGTTTATTCGCGTACCCGTAATAGAGAAAGATTGCATGGGTAACTGCAATTTACAGCATATTTATTCTTTCGCTCTATTATGGATATGCGAGCGAATTAGATGTTTCGCCAGAGCGAAACGTTTTTCGCCCAAGCGCGTCGTATATAATTCACGAAGCGACACTTTCAACTTCGTAGCAAACCGCAACGAGGAGAAACGTTAATGTTAATCATTTGCGCGTCGTCTGTGTATACGAAGCGCAAATGATTAACAATACGAATAACCACTCTCTCTTTATTGCTGAATCCGCAGAATAAAATTATTAATCGAGCTAATGATGCACATTAACATTTTATCTCTACTCTAACGCATGTTCCGAATTCATTTCTTACGATATATGCTTGTACATGGCCTATAATATAAGCATGTACTTAACAACAGAACGGCTCTTGATTTTCCAGCTGGGTATTGAATTTCCCGCTTGGTACGCACAAATAACATTAATGTTTTGTATTTTATATATATTTTTTATATATTTATTTTTTTTTTACATTTATAAGAAATTTGTATTCTCAATAGAGTTAAATCTTTCACAATAAGACTAGTAGAGAAAATTCTAAAGTTAACAATTTAATTTATCAATTAATTTAATATATAATATTTCTCTAACATTAAATAACATTAATGTTATTTGTGCGTACCTAGCAGAAAATTCAAGAGCCGTTCTCGGGGAGGAAACCGTGTTCTTTTTGCGTTAGTGAATTTCATTATATTTTATAACACATCGAGAGAGACCAAAATTATGTTCTCGAATCCGGTAAAAGTAGCTGCCCGACATGTACATTGCGACATGTAGATCCGTTTTTTTTTTGTAAGGCCTGTTGATCCGTCACTGCAGCCATTTATATACATTAGTTTAAAAGCAAAAGATCACATGTGATCTCAATTTTGCGATATTTGTGATTTATATGATTTGTTTTGTGTATCAAAGCAAATTAAATCTTTGACTCGTTAAAAATAGGTTTATGATGTGTTTCGTAAGCTAAGAGAACGCATCTGTAAAAGTCAAATTGGGAAACTATCCGTTTCAATAAAGTAAAAAAAAGTCATAACTTTCTGTCTGTGTCGTTAGGAAATTTTCATCGATTTTATCGAAACTAATTTTTCCGCGCAATGATAACGACAACATGACTGCAGTGACGGATTCGGAACTTTGCAAAGCTTTACTGATTATTTTTTTTAGGGGTAAAGAAATTTTTTTCAAAGAATCGCTACGCGCTAATATAATGCTGTTAAAGTAAAGAAAAACTTATTGGAACTATAATTCGTATACATTTCATTGAGTAACGTAAGTGTGCATTGCATCTCTTTGTACGTGTAAAAACAATTTTTTTTATATATATATCTCAATGGGAATAACATTTAACGGATGTTTGTTCTTTCCTTGTCTTGTTTTCTTGACGCATTTCTGCATTCTTTTCTCGTCTCCCCAGCTTTGTTTAAAGAGAAGAGAGACTAACTTCTTCGCGTCTTAGTCTTATGTTACAGAACAGAGAAAGCAACAGGATTTAATGTTTATTTAGTTTTCTCTTCCATATTCTGATGGATATATCCTCTTTTGTTGTATTTTATTTACATGTTTTAACTGACCGTTTTTGCAAGTTCCATTGAGATACTAATTGGTCGTGTTGTTACGAAGTGCACAGAGTACTTTTCTTTTTTTTTTCTCTTTTGCGTTAAGCTGTGCATCTAAAGTTTAATTCAAATATACTTAGCAGTATTTAATCAATGAAGTAAGAATAATTTTTTGTGAACACATTTTTAAAAAAAGCGGCGAGAATGCATTGAGAACGAAACGATCAATTTTGTTTTCAACTCGCCATGATTATTGGGATTACAATTACGGCAAAGTTATGCAATGCCTGAAACAAAATTCTACGAAACCAAAACAAAAGAAAAGAGAAGGATGGAAACTATCGAGGAATAGGGGATTTATGCACGGTGAACAGCATTATCTTCCGCGAGGTAAAAAGATGTAAATTTAATTGGAAACGAAGCGATAGAGAGAGAACGCGTCATTCGCTGTAGCATATTGTACAGTTTATATAAAAATTTAGTACACTAAAATTAATTAGTGATAACTTTGTATAATAACTTTAAGCTTTAAACGTTAGGTTTACGTACTTTACTAAGCTTTGTAGATATATTTTTCAAACTTTGTAGATATATTTTTTGCAAGTGGCAAAGATGCAAAAAATTCGGATTAATTGGATATATTCGTTATATTCTACCTAATTTCCGACATATGCTTTACAGCTTTGAGTGCCGGAAATTAGGTAGAATATAAGCGCTTTACTTTTTCTACACATTTGCGTTTCGTAAGAAATTTCCTCGGAATTTTATTCGCGCGATTTTTTTTAGGTCTCCTAGATGTAGATAACAGTATACATCACAGATCGAATACATTCAGTTATTCCGTGATGTACATTGTTAGCTACATTATAATAAAGTAAAAAATCATTTAAAGCGGCAAAAAGAAATGTCAACGATATCTCGCGGACATCTCGATTCAACTATATCAGTTGTCCATTTACACGTTAGCTAATCGAGATCCTGAGTCATGATATTCGATGTAATACGATCGAATACTACGACTCAGCTTAAGCTGTCAGTTTAAAGTGTAATATTAATGACGAGCGCCGAGATTCAAGGTCGTTATCGGCTGCTCGTCATTGAATAATGTTTCCAAGTAATGTCGTCCGCTTAAGTATTGGGTTTCGAGGTCATGTTACATCGCGAATACTACGACTCAGTTTGATCTCGATTCGGTAAAATTTCGAGAATGTTTGTGGTACATTCAACCCTGAAGTTGGAAGCTCAATAGATTTAGAAGGTTTGCTTTCGTAGATGTAATGACAAGTAAATAGGAACAGCTCAATTAACATCTACGAAGGTAAACTCAAATCTGTTGAGCTTTAGAGTTGTATCATACATTGATTATAGATTGACAACAATGACAACAGATATAATTTAATTAAATGACACTGATAGTTATATATTTCATCTGTTGCTACATGACACTGGGAGATTATCGCCTCGGCGTTTTGTTGAACGTTATTGTTCGATATTAGTGGGAATTGATTTCGTGACCAACAATAACGTTCAGCAAAGCAATGCCGAAATCTCTGCCTCCGATCCGAGATATCCGCGACGTATCCGTTTGTGGCACGGGTTGTGTGGGAACACCGGGAAAATACTGAAGTAGTACGGGACGTACTTACCCGCCGTGTGAGAACCTCGGGAAAATACGCCTGAACACCTTACGACATTTAATTGTGAAAGAGGAAAGAAACATGCATCTTTTTCGCTTGCCCCTTTCGATATACCCGCGGGACTCGTTAACGTCGCGCGATTCCGGTCGCCGCCCCGGTAACTTCGATAGATCAAATCGCGACCAGTTTCGGCGGCGCGGCGCCTCGTAGAATCGCGCTCGAATCGTTTCGGTATGTACTGTATTCGTCGCCGTAATTTTGCCGGTCTAAAAGTGAATTTTGCCATTTCGCGCGTTTCGAGAATTGCTTCCGGGAATAAACGCCGCACGCGAAATTCGTCGTAATGTGAGCGACGCACACGGTACCGCCGCGATTTCCTTGTCGACTTGATCCGCTTCCCCGCGTTTTCGCGATCGTCGACAAAGGTCGGCGAGGGCCGAGGAGCAAAAATTTTGGATCGGGATCGCTCCCGGTTATATTTCTCGCCCAGGTTTATCCACGAAACACGACGGATTCGCGTGTTACTGCTAGGGTACGTTTTTAATTTTATCGATTTCACTTTCATGCAACAAGTGGCTCAAATCGCCGACCTAAAGTACTTCGAACCTTACGTGAGATGGCCGCTCTGTTTGCTACAGTCGAATGTTGACTTACCTAGTCTCTTTCAAGTTGACTTTAATTAGTCTCTTGAACTTATTGATGGATGTTTTCATCGTGCTATCGACATTCACTTCCATCTCTCTGCGCCTCCAGAAAATGAGCATACATGATTCGCGTTTAATGCAAGAGACGCCTTTACCGTCACACTTGATTAGATTTCGAATTTTCGAATCGATTTCGTAATTGGTTAATTAATTGAAGTCAATTATCAGGATTTTTCGCTTTGTATCTTTCGCGATAGAGCGCGAGCAAATTTCTTACATCCGAAAAGACGTGAGTATCATTTCTTTTAAAGTATCAGACGTTTGTCTGAAAAATTATATAATTGGTTATAGATTATATAATTGTGCGCGTGTCTGCGCACATTAAAAAAAATTAAATATTAAATTATATAAAGTGGTAAATGTAACACGTTAATATTATAATTTTAGCAATTCAAAATCGATTGAAATCCTGTTCATGTTATGCTGTTATTATTTCATCGAAGCGCAGCGAAAAGCGCGATCGACGCACGATCATCCTCGGGGTAAATCAACATTCGACAATCTGCCGCATCGACATTATTTTCTCGTCACTAAAGGTAATATTTTCGAATCGCCATTGGCAATTATATGTTAACTCTATGTATGATCTAATAATATACGTATCGAAAATATAAATCTAAGTGTGCCTATAAAAAGAATAACACTTTACTTATTTGAAAAGACCTATATTCTCATATTTCAAAATATAATGTTCTATCAAACAGTACCTCATGTTTATTTCAATTGACATGCAATGTAATAAAAGTAATAAAAGGTCCGCATTGTGGATATTTTTATAACGCTAAATCTGAAATGACGTTATTTAATTTCCACGATTTCGACCGATTAAAGTTCCCTAATTCCTCTCACAATATCGTCAAGTTTTAGCAGCGAGATTCTAATAACACTTTGCTGCAATGTCTCGGTTGAAGTCGAGGATGGTTGAAAAGGGGCCAACGATTACACTCATCGTATAAATTATTTGGCTCACCCTTGTGGCCTACGCCCGATCAGTTCTAAAGTCTTGAGTTCTTTTTTCAGATGGATTTAAAACCTACCAGGGTTACCTACGTCTTGACGACGTTGTAGAGTCGTCACAGGCTCGTCTCCGTTAAATGAAGTTTCTAGATAGTAGTTTTCGGGTGTATAACGATGAACACGAGAAGGCCCTGGTATAGGCTCATCTATGGTTTTTGCGTCTTTCGCTGTGCCAGGAGATTGTAATTCATCTTCATTAATTTCCATTTTTTTTCTCGCTGCGCGAGGAAGTGGTTCTTCATGGATTTCCACTTCCGCGGATCAGACACTTATACTGCACTCCGTACTTTTATCAGCGCTCGCCAGTGGCAGCGACTGCAGCTCCATCGGCTGCAGCTCCAACAGCTGCCCCCTGGCTTCCCTGGCCTGCTCGACGTGTCGCTGGACGCCGGTCGACGTGCACCCAAAACTACGGAGGAACTCCCGCCGGAAATTGGCTGCAAGGAGAAGAGTACCGTGAGTGCAATGATTTGCCGGATGGCCTTTTTTTTAGCGCACGCGACGACGCGCGGATTCCTCTAGCGAGAGGATTCTCGTTCGCTTAAATCCCGAGTTCCGCGCGTGTCACGCGTTTAAACCCTCTCGTATAAAAAAATTCGTATAATAATTTGATTTGATTTGATTCTCTTGAATTATTAAAATTTCTCTCTCCTCAGAAAAATTGGCAAGGAAAAATACTAACAGTACATACGTTAATAACGAGTCAAACAAAACGAAATTAACCCTCCAAATCAAACCAATAATAATCCGTTGTTCAGTTTGGAACGCGAGAGACAGAATATTCGGCGTACGCATTTTAATCCGAGAATTATATTTGAACTAAGCGGCTTGTATTTGATACTGTTACCCATCGATCTGTCTGTTGCGCGTATACTTGACACACTCTCTCTTTCTCTTTTGTGTCTCTCGTGATAATAACATAGACTTATAAGTCTATGGATAATACTTTGAATATTTATGAAATTTAGTAGTAAGTACAAAGTGAAAAAAAAGATAAGTACTTACTACTAAAACAGTACACGATGGGGTTGAGGGAACTATTTAAATATATTAGCCAATGCGAAAATGATCCATAGAAACGTGTGACTTCGTTAGCGGGGATGTCCATTGTAAATCTGAAACAATAAATTCATATTATGCGTAAATAAAGATTAATTCAGTCAGTTTTACTATCAATTTTTTGTATCTCTCAAAATGTGCACTCAAAATATCACTCATTTAATTTTAGCTTGTTTGTTTAATATTATTTTACTCTTTCATTTGAAATTATTATTTTTATATGGAATTAGATCTCATGTGTGTGTGAGGCTATTATTTATATCTATAAAATCTTAAATATTCAATAAATTTATAAATGAGAAATAGCCTTGTGCAATCGGGAAACGATTATCTGCGGTAAAAGAAGAAGAAAAGTTATATCGAGTACGGCGTAAAAATAATTTACGGTATATCGGAGAAAAAGTCTTGATGGAACACCTGGCGTTTTCCGGAAAATTAAAAATATAACAAATTCTCGAGCATTATGCATAAAATTCGTATTCACTTGTTTTTATGTCACGATTATTTTTATTTACGAGATCTATTTGAATGAAATTTTATAAGATAAAATATATACTTTCAAAATTTTACATTAGCAACGAGTGCAATTATTATTTTGATTTTACTTTTGATTTTTTTTTAACGCTTAACTTAATTAAATACTTGTAAACTAATAAAGTATTCAATTTGGTAACAATTTTGTTTTGCGAATTTAATAAAATTGATAGAATGAAATATATTACACGATATTACTAAACGATACTGTCGATTTACGATTTACTGTCTATTATTTCATATATAAAAATAATCTTGACACAATGCAATTTTTACTTTGTCGTTTGATATTGATAATGAATAATCGACATCAAACGACATCGAAATTGATATCGCAATTAATGAGTACTTTATTGCGACAAGTGAAATATTTTTTGCGTCAATGAAAATCATGTACAACGCATTGAACATTGATACCGTAATATATTACAATAAAATTTAATAATATTTCAAAACACACCTTAGAATAGTGAGCAAATGCACGGGAAAAAAACATATTGTAAACATGATAACGAGGGGGACTAACGTCTTCAACACCGTATTCCGTTGAGATTTGAAATTCCTCATCGGACCCACTGTAAAAAATTAACGCAAAATAATTAATTGATAATTTTATTTCAAATGTGTAAAAATTAAATATATGTGCCATGAAAGATCGTATCTTCGCTTGGGATAATTTTTCAATCTCGATAAGAAATATTTAATTGAAATTGCGTAAGAGAATTTTAAAAATATTCGACACGTGCAATAACGGTAAATAATTATTATCATAATGTAAATGACAATATTGTATTTATCTTTGAATAATGTTTTGTAAAACATTAATCAATTTATAATAAATATGAAAAGAAAACGCGATTTATGTCATTTACAATTAGATAATTATATATAGGTATAATTATTAAAATGAAATTTTTCTTACTATTATTTCCTGGAATCGACCTTTTCCAAACAACGAATATAATGTCACAGTACGAGTAGCCCATCAAACTCAGCGGCATTAGATACAATAAAATCAGTTTGTAAACTGTGAAGGTAATTACACTTCCTTTGTCCCAGTCGTAAGTACACTGCGTGTATATTACATTATCCAACTTAACTGAGAACGGCACCGTGTGCAACGCCACTAATTCCGGAATATCTGATCAAAAGACACATCGAATATTAATAAAACTGTACTTTTGTCCCACTTGCGAGGGAGTTTTTGTTGGGAGGAAGAAATCTGCCGTGAGAAAAAATTAAGGCATGGAAATACATCAATTTTCTATCACGTAAGATTGAATCCTAGAGATAAAATTTATGGCATTTAACAAGAAACGTTTAAGCAATAAGAATTTTGCGAAACGAAATACAGTCTCTCATTGGATTATCTGTACCATTACAGTGTCCCAGAATTGGTACGATGTAAGCACATAGTGCATTCTGTAATTTGTGTTCGCAATTAATTTTTCCTCGAGCAGAAACATTCCGTAACAAGTTAAATTAAAATTTCAAATTAAACTTTTAAATTAAAGTTTTAAAAATAGAAGGCTTTCTGCTAATTAAACTTTACATGAACGAATAAATAATGCAGTCATTCACTTTCAAACTATATGTTCACTATTGCAGAAAATTATATTTATTGATTAATTAAAGTACGTCAATTGATATACGTGCTAACAACATTAACGTACTAACTTCTTATTAATTATATTGAAAAAAAAATTACTAAAATAATTTATTAAAAGTGCGTGCATGCTTACCAGAAATTAGCGATATCACCCAGATCGCAAAGATAGTTTTTTTCGCTCGGGTACGCGTATACGTAAAACTTCTCGTTATTTTTTCGTTGCATATAACTATCTGCCGGTCCACCGATGTACAAGTCAGCGTCCAAATGCTGACACTCACCGACACCGTCTGAAAAATAATAAATGTTTGATTAAGACAATTTATCGTTCTGTAATTTACTTATTAATATTAATATTTTAAAGATTTAAATATTTAAAGGGTAAATCGAAATATGCTTATAACAAAAGTACTGTTCAGTTGAGATAAAGATATACGGATAAAAATGCTATTTATTGGATTATAATTATAAAATCGATCGAAAATTGATATTTGATTTCAAGTTTTTCTGCCGAAACATTTCCGATCTCATAAATTTCTTGTAGCTATTCCGCGATGCTACTCTTCTCACGTCCGAATTTCACGCGCAACGTTTTAGAACCTCTCCGAAATAATTTATTTCATTTACTTTCATTAACGTCACATAGTGATACCATTTAAAGGAAACATTTATTTATATCATACAATATAAAATGAATAAGTCTAAGGACTGCATGCCACTTGAGTTTTGTTTAACGTGCATCCGAGCGAATCTCACAATCAGACAGAAGGAAAAAATAGAATAGGGAAATGAAATAGGAAGAAAACAAAATTAATATAAAGGAAAAGGGAAATGAGATTTATTAACAGTTTCACAAATAGCAATGCGTATCTAATTTTAATGTTTTCAATTGTTTTCATTCTTGTCTTTCTATCTTGGCAGTGACGGGTAGAGATTATCTGAATGTCAAATGATTTATCAAAGAGGCAGAATTCTACTTTGTAGCTCTTTTGCGTAACTGTGGAGTGTATATTGAGTATCATTTGAACACAAAACCTTTACAGGGAAAGGGAGGATCTTGTATTTGTAACTAGAAAACTGTTGGAGTCAGACGTGCGTAAAATTGAAATAAATCTCAAGTACAGAAAAATTGCAAGTACAGAAAAAAACGTAAATATTCAGAAGCTTATTAATATTTAAAGGCCATAATACCAAATATTTGCATTAAAAAGAAATTGCATGAACAAAAATAGTTGTCTTTTGAACGAGCAATAAGTGACTAAAGGAAATGAATGTCACGCTAATTAATCAGATTAGATATACAGTAGATTTGTTAATCCGATTATGCGAGTTGATTCGTAGCAGAAATAAACAGAAAAATTATTATTAAAAGAAAACATTTTTATTTGCAAGTGCTTGAAATAAACATAAAAAAGCAATTACGAGATACTTTACTGCAGCTTTTATTTACAGCTATAGAAATTGACATGATAAAAATTATAAAAATAATTATAAAAATTATAATTACGAATTCCTTTAGTCACTTATTACCCGTTCAAAAGACAACTATTTTTGTTCATGCAATTATTTTCTTTTTGGTACTTGGCAGATATATTTGATATATATGATCTTAAAATATATATTAATTATGTTTTTAAATATTTACGTTGCGATTTATCTGTACTTGAGATTTATTTCAATTTTATGCATGTCTGACTCCAACAGTTTTCCAGTTACAAATATACAAGATCCTTCCTTTCCCTTCAGAGATTTCGTATTCAAATGATGACGGTACTCAATTGCGCTCCACAGTCACGCAGAAAAGCTACAAAGTTAGAATTCTGTTTCTTTGGTAAATCAATTGACAATCATATATTTTTTATCCCAGGTAGTTTCCCATTACCCCAGGTAAAATAAGACAAGAATAGAAACGAGCGGATATAAAAATGTTCAGCAAAATCTTAAAATCAGAAGTTATATAAAAAAATATATTGTCATTTACAACTGCATGTGTCTACCATGACTAGAACAATGAAAAAAATTTTAATAAAAAAAAGTAAAGTACAGAAACATGATACATATATAAATAAACATAAATAATATTTTTAAATGTACAATATCAAGTATTTTATTACATTAATATAATACAAAATTATATTAATCTTCTCTCTCTCTCTTTTTTTGATCGATAAATGCAAGCAAGCACTTATGAATGCGAAAAACAAGTGCGGTAAATTATTAATATTTTATTATCTAGAGTTGCATGTATGTTATATTTATGATGAAGACGAGGCATATCTTTTCGTTTTTATTCTCATATCTGACGTGAAACAATTTCGTGTGTGCACGGTAAACCGTCGGTACACCGCAATGCAGTACGTTTTAATTAAACCGCGGCTATCACTTGCCGCCCGCATTCGCAAGTGCGCTGTATCCGTCACGCTAGAGCACGTAATTCGTACGATAGCGACATTGGCACACGTAGCACATAATACACGTGACACTCGCCGCGACATGATCGCGCATTTCTTTTTCATACCGAAATATAATCCCTTAACTCTATTAAAATCACTCATAAATTTCTCTCTCGCTCTCTCTGAAAGTTTTACTCTCACTTCAATCTCAAACGAGATAAAATTAGACTTTTAGAAATGTAAATTGAGTAATTAAAATTAATTAAATGACACCGCGTGCGCGAGGCAGTATAGTAAACAAATTTCTCTTGTACAATTAAAGATAAGAAACTTTAAGAAAACGCTTGGTAGTTTACGGAATCGATAATACGCAAGTGATTTTGAGATAAATTACTATATCCCGGAGATTCTTGCATAATGAAATTAAATTTATTTTTCCTCAGTGAAAAGGTAGTTTTTAAGATATAAGGCATAAACGACTGAAAGTAAGAAAGCCAATTTATATGTAAAATAAAATAGTGACAAAACATATTTAACTAAAACACATTTTTTCAAAACAGCGTCGTTGAATATTTTGCTCGTTTTCTTATTATTCTGATAAAGTCGGTGTTTCTTGTGTTTACGTCATATTTACGTCGAGATCTTTCACGTAGAGAAAGCGTAGATTGTAACTTTTGCTTAACCTTTTGAGTCAGATGGGATGTTCACAGCATACCATTCTTTTGCGTTTAGTTTTTAATTATTTTAATGAATTTCTTAATGTTAAGTACCGGTTTTTCCTTGTTTTCGTAGAATCCTTGGAACATGAATGAATGTTTAAAAAAAATAGGCAACTATAAATTTTGATTTGTGTAATTACTATATAACAAGTAGTTAAAATTTGTCTTTTGGAAAAAAAAAATATTTTCTACTAAACTATGTATTATCAATATCAAAAACAGCAATTTACGTACTCATTAGGATATCTTAAAGTATTTTTCAAATTTTTTTTAAGATTTTTTCACTCGTTTTTTATTAAATTAATAATCTTTAAAAAATAAGGAAATATCGATATTTTCTACTGTAAATCCAAATAAACAGTTTGAATATCTCTTATAATAATGTTCTACAGACTAATTTTTTTTGGGATCATTAAATCCTAATTTAAAGTCAAAATTTTCAAATTAAATCCAAAATTGGTATGATAAAAAACGAAAAAAATTTGAAATTAAAACAATTTTTTTAAAATTTGATTTCTGATTTGCAATAAGCAACACGAAAAATCGCCGGGTACAAAGTTTAAAAAAATCGATCTGATAAAAATTTGTGACACAAAGTGCTAAATGGAGATGTTGTCTGAACACAGGGACGGCAAGTGATTGAACCGCAATCGCGGCGTTACGAGTCATTATACATTAGCGAATTACGATGTAATTTTCTTATCATCACCGCGAGGACGGTGCTTCCGGTAGCATTGGGTAATGTTCGAATGCGTGTCCCTGAAAAATTCATCGCAATTGATCGGCGTCATGGGACAAACATATTGCATGTAAAATATCACCCGGAGCATATCAGGGTGCTCGAGAAGCGAGCCGTCCGCGTTCTTGATAGCACATATATATATATATATATATATATATATACACCGCAGTATGCCGCGAGTTTATACGCTAAACCGTGCCGTATTTTTCGCATTTTTTCTTTCCTTTTTTTTCTATTTTTCCTTTATATTATTTTCTCTTTTTTTTCCTACCCGAGAAACCGAGCTCTCCATCGACAATCCGTCAAACTTTTACCGTCACCGTTCGTGATATGAGCTTCGATTTACCTACAATTTAAATGTCGCGAAAGAAGAATGACGCTCGCATACGTCACATGTGTACGGGTCGATGCGTACGATGCTGCGGTAAAAATTATACGTCTATGGAATGAGAACGCGTCGATCATGCCCAACTGATAATATAATTGTTGATCTACGGGAACACCCACGGGTGTTTGCTTAAGTTCGCGAGAGCAAATTTGCGAATTATTGCGAGGGATAAAGAATATTTCAGAAACACCGGGCTCATCCGAGCTACATCCCGGAAACTCTCGAAGCAATTAATTTATGAAGTATATAGATCGATATTTTCTGAAATAATCTCCGCAGGAGGAATTATTTCCTTGTCGTGTCTTCACCACTGGATTCGCTGAAGTAAAAGAATCTTTTTTCTTTTAATTCGAGTAGATCCAGTTCTTTCACCATTCCATATTTCGCTATTATTAGTCTTTAAATATATTTTCGAATACGCACAATTTGCAAACAATCTCTTTTTCGACGTTTGCTATTATTCGCCCGTCGTACCATTTTTATATTTCAAATGGCGCGAAATTTTTATTCTTACAACGACTATACGTAATGTTGCACGAGGAAAAACTTACCTACCCCTCTCGTGTAAATAAGCATTTTCACATATTCATATATGACGTTGAAAAAACGTACGTTTATTTGTGATTCGTGTCTGATTCGGGCAAAACGTCGAATGTGATCGTCGATGATGTTTTTCGCGAATGGTATTGAATTTTACCGTGCGCAGTGAAATTCACAGTTCACGAATCCGATTGATAAACTGTCAGCTTTAAAGCAGCAAACGTATAGAAATATAACGGTACAATAGAATTTTAAAAATATCATACGATACATTTCATATGTATATATGCGGGATAATGCTGAGCACAAACGGAATACAAAATTTAGTGCAAATGTATGATGTTGAACGCAGCAAATTCGCCCTATATTCGGCAGATATTTTATACTAACAATATAAGACGACGCATTAAGACCGTTTTGTGAATAAGCCGCTTAACGTAATCTACTATTACGTTTGCAAAATAACATATAACGATATAGAATTGCAATTTTATATAGAATGTCACTTACATGTGATATACAGAAACTTGCGGGCTCTTTTGCCGTGCACAGAAGAAGAAGATAAACTGTCAGCTTTAAAGCAGCAAACGTGTAGAAATATATAACGGTAGAATAGAATTTGAAAAATATCATACGATACGTTTTATATGTATGTATGCGGGATAATGCTGAGCACAAACGGAATACAAAATTTAGTGCAAATGTATGATGTTGAACGCAGCAAATTCACTCTATATTCGGCAGATATTTTGTACTAACAATATAAGACGACGCATTAAGACCGTTTTGTGAATAAGCCGCTTAACGTAATCTATTATTACGTTTGCAAAATAACATATAACGATATAGAATTGCAATTTTATATAGAATGTCACTTACACGTGATATACAGAAGCTTGCGGGCTCTTTTGCCGTGCACAGAATTCTTCTGTTTCAATAAACAAATTACGGGAAATTGGAAGAAATTGGAAGCAGATTTATCCAAGTGTACGAAAATTGCATGACAATTTAATAATAGATAACGTTAAGCGGCTTATTTACAAAACGGTCTTAATGCGTCGTTTTATTGTTAGCATAAAATATCTGCCGGATACAGAGTGAATTGGCTGCGTTCAACATCATGCACAACATTTTGTATTCCGTTTGTGTTCAGCATCTCGTATATATATACATATGAAATTTATTGTATGAAATTTTTCAAATTCTATTCTATTATTATATTTCCACACGTTTGCTGCTTTAAAGTTGACAGTTTACTAATCCGATTCATGAACTGTGAATTTTACCGCGCACGGTAAAATTCAATATCACTCGCGGAAAATTACATCCGACGTTTTATATATTATATTCAGTACTCAATATTCGCAACTGTGCACGTACGTGATTATCATTGAATTAAAAATATTTTAAATTATAGGAATTAAAGGTTAGTCGAAAATTTTTTTCAGTTCAAATAAGTTTATTCCAATTTCTTAATTTTTGATTAACATTAATCGTCACTATATAGACTCTTGCGAAAAAATCCTTAATAGCCAATAACTCAAATACCATCAACATTGCGATATTCTTCCCTATTATATTTATGTCACGGATTTAATAAGGAATTGTTTTAGCGTTCTTCCGCGCACCTGTGAATCACACCGCGTAACGGCCTGTTGACATTGTGCACATGCGGTTTCATTCCAGATATATAACATGTATATACATACATATATATATATATATATATATATATATATATGTATATATATATATATTACACTCGTTGGCAGTTTCAGCTTCATTTTCCATTCGAGCGAATCAAACTATATCCACATTGCAGATGAGATTGCCGCGTTTTGTACGCTTTTATGTGTCAACACAATGATACAAAACTTCTCTGTGCGTCGATGCAGCTGCTTGAAAATTTTTTAATAACGTATAATGTTTGCACATACAAATTTATATTAAGACAAGGCGAAATGACTTACGAGTGGTGGTTCTATTCTTCCAATAATATATTACCCGCTGCGCAGCAAGAAAGAACGTCGTTAATCAATGATAGAAGGAAAAAGGGTTTGCAAGAAATTATACGTAGCAGCATATTTACTCGAACAAGAAGATATTGACGCACAGAGAAGTTTTGAGATATATCATTACGTTGACACACAAAAGCGTACAAAACTGCGTTGATCTCATCTGTGTGGATAGTTTAATTAATCGCTCGAATGAAGAATGGAGCTGGAACCGCCGACGAATGCAATACACGTATATGTATGTTATATATCTGAAATGCAACTGCATGTGCACAATGTCAACAGGCCATTACGCGGTGTGATTCACGAGTGCGCGGAGGGACGCTAAAACGATTCCTTATTAAATCCGTGACATAAATATATAAGAGGAAAGAATATCGCAATGTTGATGGTATTTGAGTTATTGTCGATTGAAGATCTTTTCGCGAGAGTTTGTACAGTGACGATTAATGCAGTCAATCAAGAATTAAGAAATTAAAATAAACTTATTTGAAATGCTCTTAAAAATTTTTTCGAAAAATAACCTTTTATAATTCCTAATTTAAAATATTTTTAATTCAATGATAATCACGTACGTGCACAATTGGAAACATTGAGGATTGAATATTGAAACGTACTTATATTGCATTTATGTATTAATTGCCAGTGGCTCAACATGCGTCCGCAAGTGTTGCAGAGAGAACCTGGTATCCAAGAACTATAACTATATTTCACCACATCAAAGGGTCTAACTGAAGTGATTTAATTAGTGCTGAAGGGCAGAGAGATTCTACGGAACAAATGAAGATCCAAAATTGATTTTAATGGTCTGCAAATGGGAACGGTGCAAAAACAAACGGCGCTCTTGGATTTACATAGGTAACCTCAGTATTAATTAAGATCAACGATCATTAGAGTGTATAGACATTTCTTTCTACATATCATACGGAAATGTCAGAAGAGATGCAAAAATAATTTGGGATCGCTAGTTAAAAGCATTACTCTTATTATCTTTTCAAAATGAATGATTTCTTCCTTGGAGATCTTTTCGTGATATATTAAAAGAGATTGCAAAATGTACGTACAATTCTTTACATACTTCTACATTTATACATTCTGAATAATTGTACGATAAAAAATTAAAATCACCATTGTAAAATGCAGATAATTATACGATTTAAAAATCGAGAATTTTTACGCAATCCATCTTCTCCATTTTCTCGGGTAAATCTATATTGTTCTTTCAAAATCTCGTAATTTTCTAAAGTTGCGAACTGTGAGTGACTTAATTCTTAATAATGCGTAATTGCGTTGCATGAGAGTAGGAAATTGCCGCGTACGGAGTTCATTTGTGCCCGCTTGAAGTGATTGTGTTAAACCAATTTCGTAGTTTGAACTCTCACTTCAAAGTTGCACCGCGCTTCCGTGTTACGATAATGAGATAAGCGAAAACGAGTAGATATCCAACGACGAGACGAGATGCTGCGTGCGATGCCCATTTTTATATGCGTAACTGTGCGAACAATTTTTCACGAGTAACGAGAAGAATAGGAGACTAGTTATTGTCATTTATGGTTGTTAGTACCACTCAATCCTTACAAAAGAATTTAATTTATTTTGTGCTCCTATCCCATTCATATTCTCATCGTTAACGTTATTATTTTATTTGACGAGCTTTTGTATTTACATACGCATGTATGTGAATTTTAAAGCTGCGAATCTAGGATTCGCGATTACGACATGACACGAAGTAATGAATAGCGTCTGTATAATGAGATAGCCAATGATGAGCAGCAACACGTAAGATAATGTAATTATGCATATCGATCGCCGAAGCGATGCTGCAAGCAAGACCGCACATTGTATCGTAAAATTGACGTTTGTACATCGCTCTCGATGATTTCCTATGCAGCACGCGTAATAAACTGTTCAAACATTATTCTCACGTAGGATTTATCGAATATTTTCGTACGGCGACATCGAATTGGACACGGAAATAACATGAATCGAATAAGCAATTATTTTTTAGATATAAATTTTCAGTGAATTTAACATTATTTTGAGTAAATATTTAAAACGTGTTGTATAATTCAATTGTCACTTTTACTATAACGCCAGAGAGAAATTTTATATTCCGAAAATTGTCCGAAAGAAAGTTTAGCAAAAAATGCATGAAAAAAGATTTGTTAAAACAACTAATTGTTAGTTATAAATGTTGAACTCGCGCAAACTATATAGATTAGAATTATCCAATCTATTTTTTTTTTTTTCGAGAAATTAGATGGAGGCGCCGGTGCTAAAGTGGCAGCCAACAGCCTCGCGTTTACAAAAATTATGTACTGGGTATGTCTTGATGGCCATACCCCACCATGCCGACGTTAAACCGACATGACGCGCTATTAAAGTAGCGAGCACCCTTTTTGTTCGATCCGCTCAACGCCGGCGCCTTATAAACCCTGCACGTCGAAAATTAAATATGAGATAAGCATGCATTCCTCCAGCCATCTGTTGATCATTTGAGAAACTATCGCATATACATATAGTACATATACCGTACAGCGCGTACGCATCGCGATGACTGATGACAAATCGCGCATTCAGATCTACGATGCTTTCATCGATTTACTTTGCATTTTTAATATCTTGACAAATTAAACACGCTCAAATAAACTGTTATATTTAAATATTTATCATGTAGCGTTTGAAGAAAACTACGTATATCTGTATTAGTTTTATTTACAATCGCTACAGTTACGTATATTTATATTATTAATTAATTATTTTCTATTATTGTTACGCCCATGCTTTCGGCCGGGCTTCTTTCCGCGCCGACCTATATCGATCGCCGTGAGGTGCGACATTCGAAGAGCGATTCCTGATTTACGAGCGATTTACGCGGTTGTCAAGGAGATTTGAAGGCGGACTTTTGATGCGTTCGAACGTGCTCTAACAAGACTTTTAATAATGAGTTCTGCGTCAAAAGCCCACTTTTAAATCTCCTTGACAACCGCGTAAATCGCTCGTAATCAAGGATCTTCGAGTATCGCATCTCACGAAGATCGATTTCGGTTGGCGCGGGAAGAAACCCGGCCAAATATATATATATATATATATATATATA